GAGCTGCACAGAGGCACTCTGGAGCTCCCCAGCCTCCACCCAGTTACCTTCCAAGCCCATCCCAGCATTGCCCCTGCCCTCTAGCAGCCCAGTCTTCTGCTGCTGCTGAAGCCTGCACAAGGCCGATATGGATGGGAGGCAGCACCGGCTGACAAGTGTCATCTTTGCATGAGCATGGGGCACTGGCATGGAAGGCACCCAAGCTTGTATATTTCAAAGTAGCTAAAAAGAGTGGACTTTAAATGTTCTCACCACAAAGAAAGGATAAGTATTTTAAATGACAGATATGCTAAATAACCTGATTTGATCATTCCCCCATGTATATGTGCATTGAAACATCACATTGTACCCCATAAATATATATTTCTTATTTGCTAATAAAAAATAAAATAAACCTTTACAAAAGTAGTGTGCCATAAATGCAAGAGTTTATTTGAAGTCTCATTGTTCACATTGATCTCTGTGTTATCCTTATCCCACTGTCACTGTTTTGATTACTAAAACTTTGCAGTAAATTTTAAAGATGAGAAATGTGAATTCTCCAACTTTCTTCTTTTTCTTCTTTTCTTCTATTTTGCCTATTCTGGGATTTTGTATTTCCATATGAAACAGCTTGTCCATTTTATTGAAAAAGGCAGCCAAGATTTTCATAGGTATTACATTGAATATGTAGATCGAATTGGGGAAATTTGCCATCTTAATAATATTAAGTCTTGCTGTATTGGATTATTTTGCTATGAAGGTATTGACACAAATGGCAAAATTTGAATGAGGTCTTGAGGTGAAAAGGACATATGAAGTTCCATGGTCTATTCTTGCAATATAGTAAATTCAAAATAAAAAGTTTTTAAAAATCTATATAAGTTATTCCTGATTGTCCGGCCAAGCGGGTACTAGTATCCTGATAAACCTGTTCCTCTGAAGGAGGTCAATCTCTAAGAGAGTAAACTCAAGGCACAGCAGTGACTTCAGCATGTTAACTATCAATGAGAGTTTAGAAAAAGATTTGCTACACAGGCTGAGTTCTTAGGTATATTCTCAAATAAACTCCAAGACTCTCCTCTCTTTCTCTATTCCCAATATACCCTGAAAATATTTCAAGATTCCTTAGGAAATACATTTTACATTATATGTATTATATGTATATGTATGCAGATATATATACATGCATGCATGCACACAACACACACACACACACACACACACACACACACACACACACACACACACACACACACAATATTGCCTAAAAGGTCTTGCTTACATACAAAGAAAAGACTGCCATTGTGTTGAAAGATACTTTTGAGGAGCTCAAATTACTTTATGTCAAGGATTTCCTGGTTCTTGGATTTTGCAACATTTCTTTCCCCTTAGTTGAATATTTCACCCTTGCATGTTCATCAATTTGTCACAGACTCTAGGACCAGTTTATCACCAGAAGCAGAAAAGGTTTAATCATCTGTAGTCCCACTTAGCCCAGTCCTCTGATACCCGTTGTAGAGTTACCTTTGTGTTAGATCTCTGTCCTGTGTCTCAGATCTTGAGATGTGGTTCTCTTCTTGGGCTTCAGTTTAGATAGCTGCCTTATTCCCTGGTCTTAAGCCTCTGTTATGGTCCTGGAATTCTATGACACCATGCTCCTTCTAGGCCATCTTCTCTTTCTCTTCTCCTTCCTTCGGCATTCACACCCTTATAACCAGAGCCGAGTGTCTGAGGCTCTGATCCAGAATGCCCCTTCAAGCAGCACTTGCTTCACAGAACCTGTTTCTCTTTGTAGAGTGTAAGGAGGGTACCTATTACTTCATGCTGGACTGCTGTGGCATTTTGGATAGTTATGACCTTAATAAGAAAACTGGTCTTCCAGCTGGTTTATACCTCTCAGGGGGAAGAATGATTGTACGGGAGTTCAGAGCTAGGGGTTTTTAGACAAGTGGTTCTCAATTCTAATACAAATTAAGTCATTTAATTAGAAACCTTGGGAATGCGATTTAATCTCTCTGGGCCTCATTTCCCCTCTGTAAAATTGGAATAATAATACCTATAGGTTCTTCTAGAATGTGTACTAGATGAGCTTCCATGACAGATGAGGAGGGGAACGTTGGGAGGTTGTAATTGGTAAGGGTGGTGCACAAACAGCAGCAAATGATGGGGGCTCAAGTTCACCAGGCCTTTTGAAAGATTTCTCAAGAGCAAAATATCAATGTTAAACAGGTTTCCTCTTTCTTTTTTAATATCTGTGGCTTATTGAACTCTCCTCAAGGAATACCATGGACTATTCTAAGGTTGTGCCAAAGTGAACAGTTGGACTCACTGTAGAGGGGAAAGTGGGATTGACAAGGAGGCTCCTAAATAGACCACGTTACTTGGACATCTCTATTTACTCTTTGAGATAATCTCTGAGAACATAGTCAAGAGTAAAGGTCACCTTCTCTCAGAGTCAAGGGATGACACACACTTTAAAAAATTTTTTTTTATTTTGAAGATGTGGGGTACAATTCAGGGTTAGGTATATGAATGTTCATTATGCAGGTACCCTTGTTAATGATATGTGCCCCCCCCCCTGGCAGTTTCCTACTACTGCCAGTCCCCTCCAACCCCCCAGCAGTTTAAAACTACCGCCAATTCCTTTCTTATAGTATTATGATAATTGTTTAGGGAGTAGACAATGACACACACTTAAAATCAGAAATGGGAGGCTGGAGATCATCTATACCAATGTTTAACCTCACTTGGGAAACTTGCAAAATAATAAAAATTGTGTTTTTTTAAAATTTACAGAGGGGTCTTAAATAAAGTTCCCAAAGAAAAAAGTAGTTGGTAACATTAAAAAATTAATATATTTTGCCTCATAATAACAAAAATTTATGACATCCTAATTCTAGAATTTGGGAACCTCTCATCTAGACTACTGGTCTTCACATTACTCCAAGTAGCCCAGACAGTCTTATGAGCATGTTCAGGGATGAGGAAACCAGGCTGCCATGTTCCCACTTCACCTATCAGAGCACTTCTGCTATCTGTTTAATATGTTATGCTTTATGTAGCATTTTCTAACTCTATGTACTCTTATGACTTGAGTAACTTATTTAATATCTCTGCTACTCACTTCATTCCTTTTTAAAGTCTTGGTAGTAGCAATATTTGTTTTGTAAACTTGTTTTAAAATTTAAATGAGTTAGTAAACATATAGCAGTTGCAACAGTACCTGACATATAATACATGCTCAGTAAGTATCCTTACTGTTATTGCTGTTGCTATTAAAGAAAGAATTCTATTTTTAAAAGAAGTTTGAAAATATGGATGGAAGCAACCCTCACATTAAATAAAAGAATCAGCTCTTCAAGTTTTCTTTTTTTTTTTGAGTCGGAGTCTCACTCAGTCGCCCAGACTGGAATGCTGTGGCCGCTCCCGGCCACCGCAACCTCGACCTGCCGGGCTCCGGCGATCCTTCCGCCTCAGCCTTCCAAGTAGCCGGAATTACGGGCATGCACTACCACACCCGGCTGATTTTTTGATTTTATTGTAGAGATGAGGTCTTGCTGCCCAGGCGGGTCTCGAACCCGCGGGCTCAGGCAATCCACTCACCTCAGCCTCCCAAAGGTGCGGGATTACAGGCTGAACCACCGAGCCCAGTTCAAGGTTTCTAATAGGCCTCCAATGGATGCATAAAATAATAGGTTGCTCATTATCTCCGATCATTATCAAACATCTCTGATGGTCACAAATTTCCTTTTGTCCATCATGCCAAGATCTATTATTACTTGTAAGGCCACAATGATACACCAGTTGTTTATCTTAAGAGAGTCTCAAAGCACTTCCTGAGACTTTTTATTTTCTAGATCACCGTCATTATCACTGTCTTCATCACTGCCATTATTGTCATCAAATACTAACATTTGTTGACAGCTTATTATGAGCCAGATCATGAATAAGTGCTTTACACATACAATCTCATTTAAAACTCACAGCAAGCTTATGATAAAGCTGCTTCTTAGTTTTGAAAGTTTCTTAAAGAAAAATTATTCTGATATTTGTTGGAACAATAAAAAAAAGACATGATTGAGACTATTACAATAAGATTATTATGAGATGGGCGAGAGATTGGTTTCAACTCTGAATACAACAACGACAAGTGGGGATTTATAGTGAAGGAGAAGGGTGAGGGGGTCAATGAACAGAAAATATCTTAAGAGGAGACATCAAGAATAGGGAAATTTTTACTAAACTGATCTGATAGGATTCTTGCTAAAGGCAGGCTAAGGAATTAAAAATCAGAGGTGGAATATGAAGAATGCTTTCAGATATCAAGGGTGATCAGATATTAAGGTTGGGGGGTTGATTTAGTAGGATTCTTGACTGAGCAGGGCAAAAATAGGATAGGGACTAATGTCACGGCCTAGTCAAGAAGATGTTTCAAAGGAGCCTGTATCCAGACTTTATTAAGTTTGGTCAAGAAGAGAGTCTTTATCAAGCTATGTCAAAGTAGCCACAAAGTTTTTCATCGATCATGGTATGCTCAAAGTAAAATATAGTCCTTAAGACAGAGCACATGCTCATTAATATTTATGAAATGAGCAAATGAAGATAAAGAAATGGAGGCTCATAGTGAATAAATAGCTTACACAAGGTCATATAGAGAATGATGTAGCTGGCAATTAATTCAGGTCTGCAACATCCCTAAGCTTCAGCTCTCAGGGATATCATGTATATAGTCGTGGCTCAGGGCAAAGTTATCATTTCATTCTTGATTCATTAGCCAGGGTTTGGGGACAAGCTATTGAAACTGCATGTGCAATTACATGTCTTTCACAAGAAAAAAATACCCATGCCTAGAAGATGTTACTGACCTCTTTCTGGAATTGTGTTACTTGGAAGTGGCTATTTCACAATTGAGATAGGAACTCTCGAAAATATATAAGGCAGGATCCAAGTGAGCTGGGCAGACACCACGAGGTCAGTTCTTTTGACTACACCCGACTGCCCTTAGCCACTTCAGCACCATGAGGGCAACAGCTTGTGTCCTGTTCCTGGCTCTGACATTTGCAACGGTGTTCAGTGAGTATCTCTCTTATAAGATTGCTCCCACCCTGATAGCAATAGCTCATGTCATCTTCTGCCCACATAATTCTTGGATACATTTATCACATAGATAATAAAGGAAGCTCTTTGAAATGCATTTTTGGCCTCCCCCCCTAAAATTGCTAAATCCTATCATCTGAAGGGTTGAGTGAAAGTTAATGGTCATCTAAGGCCGAATGCTTATTTATGCAAATACTTTGTATAACTTCTGAGGAAGATGATGATCCAGACTCTGCTTTGACTTGATATCCACATTTTCGGGGATTTCATTTCTTCATAAAACATTACAATCCATTGTTTGGCAACAGGAGCTATTCGTCTTCTGTTATTGAGTTAAAATCTGCCTCCCAGTCGGGCTCGGTGGCTCAGCCTGTAATCCCGCGCCTTTGGGAGGCTGAGGTGAGCGGATTGCCTGAGCCCACAGGTTCGGGACCCGCCTGGGCAGCAAGACCTCATCTCTACACTAAATCAAAAAATCAGCTGGGCGTGGTAGTGCATGCCTGTAATTCCGGCTACTCGGAAGGCTGAGGCGGAAGGATCGCCGGAGCCCAGCAGGTGGAGGCTGTGGTGGCCGGGAGCGGCCACTGCACTCCAGTCTGGGCAACAGAGTGAGACTCCAACTCAAAAAAAAAAAAAAATCTGCCTCCCTCGAATTTTCAACCACTGGTCCAACTTCTGCCATCAATATCTGCTGCATAATAGCAGATTCTCCCTAAAACTGACTCACTCATTTCTTCTGTATTTATTGAGCTCTAATTATGAAGATTACAAACCCCTCATGTATCATGGCAGCTTTTCCATTCTTTTGGCTACATTCCAATCCCACCCAAAGGAAAAAAAAGACAGCCGTGTTAAGAGCTTCATCCTTTGATACCATGCTCATACATAGTTCTGAAGAGACACTTACATTTTTATGACAAGTTGAAACATAAATCAATGATTATTTTTCTCATAATATTAGGTTCTTCCAGAGTTTAAGTTAATATTGTCTTGTCTTTGACTTTCTTCCAGGTATAGACTGTGCCAAACAGAAGGAACAGGTCAGTATATCTATCTTGACATAAAAGTCTGACTTTTATATAATGTTAAAGCCTGTATCATTAAGAAAATATTTGATACGATATATTAATTAAATTTATGTATGTCTGAAGATTTACTTTCTGAGTTCCAAACTAATTTTATTTAAAAAACCATAGACAGATATTTCTAAAATGGAGGTAGTAGACCAAAGTGGTAAGACATTAGCATCAGAGTTAGAAAGCCTTGGCCTTATTGATTATGTGGTCATGGGCAACAGCACATATAAGATTATCCTAAGACTTAAAACCATAATATTTGAAAAGAGCTTAGCACAGTGTCTGGCACATAGTTATACTCAATAAGGACAAATCATGAGCTATATAATTTTTAATGGGCCACAAATATCTTTGCTTCCCATGTTAGAACATGAAGATTTTATTGTAACCTTTCCTTCATGACTCATTAAGGTAATAATTATTGTTGAGAAAATCTAGGTGTGGTAATAAAAACCTTAGGCCAGTACTCAGGCAATTTGAATTCCAGTCTAAAGTCTGCTGCTTACTGACTGTGTGATTCTGGGCCTGGGCAATTTCTTTCATGTCTTCAAGTCTTTTGTTTTACTTATTAAAGAAGATTATAGGGTTAAGGATATGAACTTTGTAGTCAGACAGGTCTGAGTTCATGCCGTCTTTCATGATCTGGAAGCTAGGAGAGAATGAAAAGGATGAACAAAGGTTATGAACTTGGAGTTTCCCTGTCACATTATGTCTGGCTCTCTGGGTTTTGGGCAGCAGAAGAGGAAGTGAAATTACACTCACTGGTGTATGCTTACTATTTCTTACGATGGAGCATTGCTCTCTCTGGAGTGCTGCACTAGCCTCTGAGGTACTCCTGCTATTGTGTCATGCCCACCATCTTTGCTTCATTCAACAACATTCAGCTCAGCCCTAAAACTTAGGAGGAACATGGAAGTAAACAATGGATGAATAAATGAATGAATGAATGGGTCACATCTGGAGGGAAAGAGAAATTCAACTTTAAGTCTGAGCTTTAACTTTAAGTTATCCAATTAGAGCAATTCAACAATTGGTAAAATATTATGTCTAGAACTCTCAGACAGAAAGAGCAGGAACTGTGTATAAACCCGGAGGAGCCTGTGTCAGTCTGGAAGAGAAGCCAGGGGATACAAATAATAGCTATTATTTCTTCAGTATTTTCCATGCCATGTACTGCTTAGCATTGTACATATATCTTCTTATTTATATATTTTTTATTTGAACCTTACAATGTATTATCACTACCTTCATTTTGTAGGCAAAGAAACTAAAACTTAGAGGAGTAAAATAACTGCTGCAGGGTCATATAGTCAGGATTTGAATGCAGTTGTGTTTGAAGGAAGTACACGTTCTTCAATATGCCTATCGTTTGTTTTTTTTTTTTTAATCAAGAAAATGTTTACTTGGGAATTGCCTGCCTGCTCTCATGGGCAGCTCATCACACTGACTTTCCTACAGGAATTTAGAACAGTGGTTCTTAACTACAAAGTTCAAATACGTTTGTCTGTCTATGTGCTGGTGAAATATTTAACAAGTAGACTGTTACCAATAATTAATAGTAAAAGTGGTCAGTGATGTACTAGTCCTTAAAATTATAGCAGTTATTCCCACAATATAGCTCATATTTGCATGCACACGGAACTTTTTAAATGAGAGAGAGAAATAGCAGGATAATTCATACAGAAAATATACCACACTCCATGGAACTGTTCCATTTGAGAAAATGCCATGCATTTTGAGAACTGATGCATCAACCAGTGTAGAGGAAAAACTATTTTAAATAAGCTATTATTTGCAACCAACTACTGTAAAAATGATAGCACTCATGATTTTACATCTAACATTAAAAAATCTTCACATTTAGTACATCTCAAAGAGGTCAGGTGAGGACCAACAATTGGAATAAGAAAAAAAATGCACTAAGAGACTTCTGAACTTGCTTGAAGAATCCTAAATCCTGGGGGAAAAAATGTTTGAAAGAATTGAAGGTTTTGATATGCTTTTTTCAGGTTGATTGCAGTCCTTTTAAAAAATTACCAGGAAAGATATTTTGTTACTACATGTATGCCCCAATTTGTGGATCCGATGGCAAAACTTATCATAATGATTGTCTCTTTTGTTCTAAAGTTAAGTAAGTATTGAAATATTTTCTTTTTTATATTTAAGGTAAAATTATGCATAAGACAAATTAGAAGGATTGCTTTAGGGCATAAGAAATATGTGAATCATTTCACATTGACTCTAACAAATAGAACCTTTCAGTTGAGAGGATTTGGGAGTCCCTGATATCATTATATCTCTACATATTCTGGCAGTAAGGAGGAAACAGAGAAACCTAGAATCTCCAAGTTGGAAAGAAACTTTAGGTCACCTAGTTAAACTTCCATTTGGTAATCTATTGCTTAAATTCCCTCTTAAAAATGTCATCAAATAGTCTCACAGTCCCTGTAAATTATTTCCAGGGACAATGAAAGTCCCCCTCCTGAGCATGACAGCCCACATCTGTTAGAATAAGTTGTGTTTATTGTTCAGCTACAGCAACTAGGTTCGGGTATGTCAGAGCCCCTAATAATTGGTTAAAAAAAAGAAGAAGAAAGGAAATAACATCTTAATATCTATAAAACTTGAAGAATTTTTTTCTGTTTCAGAATGTAATTTCTCAACAAAACCTATGTCAGAGCTGCAGTAAAAATAATATCAAAAATGAAATAGCCAAAAGCAGTTAAAAGGTTATATAGTAATTACTTCCAATATATGTTAACATTAGCTCACAAAACATAAAATGATGAATGATACTAGAAAGTATAAAAACATATGGGTTCTTTTAAGTATTTTCAAAACATCATGAATGAAAACAAACATTTAGCGTAAATGGCATATTGCTGTTTTTTTAATAAGATAAAAATTAGTTTTTAAGAAAAAAGACTTGTAAAGGAATGTTTACTTTAAATGTAAAAATTATTAGAATGTTTTCAGGGATATAAGCTGATTGTGACATATTTTTGAGCATCATCTTTATGTAACCATCTTCATGTCAAGTTTTAAAAGTATGCCTGAATTGCAGTCATTTCTTTTAAAAACATCAATAAGTGGGAAAGCTTGAATGCATTTTTAGGATTCATTGGTAAAGTTTAGATGCTAATGAAATGCCTGTGGGCTGTATTTCTCATTTGTTGCTATTTTCTCTCCACAGGAAAACTAACGGCAAACTTAAATTTGTACATTTTGGAGAGTGTTGTTGAATCTATCTCATAATTCCAAAATATATTTAAATGCATCTATCACAAGAGACACATTTATTTTCCCCCATAATCTATGCCACATTATCTAATCTTATGTAGATGTATTTATGGAATAAAGTAGACCTAAGGGAAATAAATGTGCACCTGACTCTTGTTTGGGGGCGGAGTTGAATCTTCTAGATTTGTTTACACTTTTGGGTGATGTCTCATAGACTATCTGAGGAAGAAAAAAGGGCTAATTAAGATCAATAATAGGAATCAGAACAATAAAAGTCCCTGAAGCTGATGCATTCTTCTTATCTAGGCTAAGAAAACACCCAATGTATATTGTTTAGTTCTTGAACATTTCTAAAATGTAAACAACTAAAGAGGGAGACTTTGGTCACAAGAATCAGAAAATACTGCTTTGTGTTTAAGACATGGAGAGTTGTTCTGGATTGAGATTGCTCTCTAACTGCTTCCTACCAAAGAACATGTTTGTAAAACGTGGCTGAGCCGGGCTCGGTGGCTCAGCCTGTAATCCCGCGCCTTTGGGAGGCTGAGGTGAGTGGATTGCCTGAACCCGCGGGTTCGAGAACTGCCTGGGTAGGCAAGACCTCATCTCTACAATAAATCAAAAAATCAGCTGGGCGTGGTAGTGCGCACCTGTAATTCCAGCTACTCGGAAGGCTGAGGTGGAAGGATTGCTGGAGCCCAGCAGGTTGAGGCTGTGGTGGCTAGGAGCGGCCACTGCACTCCAGTCTGGGTGACAGAGTGAGACTCCAACTCAAAAAAAACAAAAACAAAAAAAACGTGGCTGGTAAAAATGGTCAGTAAAGTTGTGCAAATTGCTATGTATTGGTTGACGTCTCTGATGTTTTTCTTTTCCTAAGATTTGGGAAATAGGTCTAGGGCCTGAAATCTATCTTATCCCATTATTGCATAATAAGTTTCTTAAGGAGAAAAGAACGTGCCTTGTAAGTCTTTGTAATCCATTTGTGTAATCCATTTGTGCATCGATTCAATCAACAAATACCTATTAATGACTACTTTGTCAGTGTTAGTGCTCTGCCTTGGAGAATACAATGCTGAGCAGAGCAGACATGGTCTTGCCCTCTTGGAGCTTGTGTTCTGTGAAGGAATTTGCTGATTCATACAGTATCTTGCATAGAACAGATATACAAATACACTTAGTAAAATTGAATTGAAATTAAGAACATTTTCACTGAATTATAGCAGAATCACATTACACATGCACTTAACACATGAAAAACTACCTGTATGTTATCTACAAAGAGGGAGAAAAAGAAAATAGAGTCAAACCCTTTTTGAGCTATGTTCTGGTCTTATAAACCCATCAGAGATTTAAGGATCAAGACTGTCTATCACAATGACCCAGACTAATGTCCAAAGAATTCAAGTACAATGTTGTTTGCTGTTTACTTTATTTTCTGTTCTTCTTCTTCTTCCTCTTCTTCTTTTTCTTTTATTTTTATTTTTTTTGGTTTTCAGAATGATACAAGACCATCCATAGGATTACTTAAAAGCATTCCTCTTAAATTTGTGGATAGGATTTAGAGAAGAAAAAAAAAAATCCTCTAAGAAACTCTTTAAAGAAATTGAAAATATAAGCCTCGGCTTTATTCATTTACCTTTTCACCATTTATTTATTAAATAGTCACTCTTTTCCAGATGCCACTAAAAATGCATCAGTGAGCAAACAAATATAAAACTTGTTTCTTCATGAACTAGGGGGGCCAGACCCTTCAGAGAGATTTAGAGGTTCCCTGGAAGGTGGGGCAACATTGGCGATTATTCTAGAGAAATAAAGAAAAAGAAAGAGAAGAGGAGAGAAAGAAAGAGACTGGACTCTGTCTAGTGCAGAAGTCGATTTAATGGGCAAACCGTAAGCCTTTTATCCTAAAGTTTCACAGGTAAGATCACAAGATTTTCACGTGAACACAAAGCCAGGTGGATGAGGGGCATCCCCCCACCCACCAGGTGTTTCCTCAAGCATGAGGAATGACAATCCCAATATTATTTCACTGTTCCTTATGCTTGGTTAATGTTCCTCACAACAATACAACAATTCTAACATCATAATATTCTAATAATCAATAACTTCTAAAACTTATGCATTCCCAATACCTAATGACT